CTCGCCCGCCCGCCCAGTTCAGTGTTTATTGTCGCCAGTCTTTCAAACCCTGCTGTCCTCCAATTCTAGCCATTGTGTTCATTCAGCTCGAACCCTGGAATTCACCAAAACTTGCCTCATCGTGCAAGGGTGCCGTCTGCGTTTATTTTCCTCCATTGTTATCCTTGTTCTTGATGAAATCGCTGCCGCCGCTGTCTTGGACGTCTTCAGTCACCTGTTATCCCAGATGGTGATGCATATGTGTGCGTCTCTACCCCTTACAATTTCATTAGAGGCCACCCTCGCCCCCTTCCACTTTGCAAGAAGCAGAATTTGGCTGCGCAGCCGTACGAACAAGATGACTATCATGTACATCTACCGTCTCTTTCTTCTGGTTTCGCACACTGCCCTATTTTATACATGTAGAAGAAGGCGTTTTGACTAAGCAAAAGAGAAACCTCAACACTGCAGTTCGGTGTGGTTTTTCGCAACAGACCCGTTGAATATCTCGCTCTTTGTATAACTTAACGGTTTGAGCATCTGGCTCTCCTCCACCTCCCCTACCTACTGTATCCTTCGTGGCGCTGTATATTTTGTAACTTTTTGTTCTTCCGTCCCGTACCCAGTCAGCCCCTCATCCACAACCCCGAGTCATTCGTTCCTGCCCCCTTTCATAGCGGAAAATAGCTGACAGACATCCGGCCATCCACACGTGCATAAAATACACTCTTTGAAGAATTTCACATGTCTTGTCTTTGGAACTGTGTACCGATCTCCGATCGGGCTGCCCCTTTCTTCTGAGACGGTGCGTTGATTGGGTGCGAAACTTTATTCGATGGCCGCAGCATAGAACTCAGGGACTCGATGATAGTAAGGGATAGATCCGCAATGCCGCCAAGAAACAAAGGATGCCAGGGCCGCCGTTTTTTGGCTTCTTAGGCGTCGCCAGCCAGCCAACCCGCCACAAACCCTGAGCTTAGTGCTAGTGCTGACTGATCAGGGTCCGGGCTCGAGCCTCGGGACAGGGACGGCCACTGTTTTTGTCGACACTGTTTCTGCGTCATCACCGATCGTCATGTGATTGCCCGCGTGGGCTGTAGTTTGGATTTGCAAAATAAAACCGGATGAATGCGCTCCCAATTGGTCAGATCGGCGAGCCCCTTCCTTCCCCCCCGCCCCTCCTCCCTTCGTGTTAAAAGTGCAAGCAAACAGGTCTGCCTCATTTTGGACACGGTAGTACTGATTTGACTGATATCGTGTGACGGCTCTATGCTATCTACCATGTTTCTTGCCGCCGGTACACGGCGGATAAGGTGGGGTTTGAGGGTGGGGGCGAGGGAACATGTTTATTTCCTGTCGTGCATGCGCGGTATGAGTGGGCAGACGTCGGCCAAGACATGTGGACCCGCCTGCGATTGGGGTAGAATAAGGAAGTCCGTCCAACAAGGGGTAGCGAAGTGACGAGGGGCAAGACGCCTAAGTGTTCCAGGCAGCTGAACGGGTAGGCTCCGTACATCGCCCGTGTAAGGCCCTGTCTGGCCGATAGGGATACCAGCCTTCATCATGAGGCACGCTACCAACCTGTTTCAGGGACCAATAAAATCGCATGGCGTTGCCCGAAATTCCTTCTTCGTTTGGCTGACTAACGGTTTGTCGGAAAACATTGTCAAACCTACCCTATGGCGTGTAAATTTTGGCGTAGAGGAAAACAGCATGGAATTCAGCGTAAAAATACTGCTCGTGAAACGGCGTGCGATTCTAATCGACTTAACAGTGATTTGACAGGCCGGTACTAACAAAGTGAGTGAAGGAAGGAGAGAGAGAGAACACATACACCTACATACACACTATGGTTCGACCGTCGCTGCCGACGATGTCTACCGTGCGCTCCACAGCGTAGCGAGAACAAGCACAGTGATATGCGCGTGATTTAGTTTATAGTGATGTTGTACTTGTGCAGCACCTGCCGCACCCCCTCCTCCTCCTCTGCCATCTGGACTCGGTGTCAGGACTGAATCAGGAAGGCTGGAGGCGGGGGAGGGTGCTTGTGGATGGCACGGACAAGCCACCACCTTGGCGCTCCACTCTACACCCCAGGATTTAACCAAAAACGACAACAATGCGGGGGCGGCAGGGGTCCCAATGCGCGCGACGTACGCCGGCTGCTGGGTCCGCCATCGTACCCCGAAATGCTGGCATTTGATGTGGTACGCATTCCTATAACGCCCGCCAGGATCTGATGTCGCCCCTGTGTTGATCCAGCGCATCTACCACGTGGCCCGTTTGGGGGCACGGGGGCAAACACACACACACAACAGTTCGACCGTCGTTATCGACGATGCCCACCATTTGCTCCACAGCAGGGTGCACACAGAGACGGGAATTTGCGCGTGGTCTCTTTTATAAAGGTAGTGGACTCTCACTGCATCTGCCTCATCCACTCCGCCCCCATCTGGATCCCGCGTCAAGACAGAACCAAGGGGACCGAATGCGGGGGGAGGCCGCAGGTGGCTGGCACGATGAAAACCCGCACCTAGGCGTGCCATCATATCCTCTAGTCCACAGCGCACACTGACCAGCATTTTATACACCAAGACAAAAAGCAGGATGGCTTGGATCCCCGTGGGCGCGGCGCGATCCTGCAGCTGGGGGTGCCACGAATGTTCGCGTTTCTTGTGGATGCGTATTCCTCATAAATCCTGTCGGACTCCGATCTAGTCCCCGTGTTGGTTCAGCGCATCTACTATTTGACCCGTTTTGAGGGCACACACACATAGCTCGTAAATTCGTCTCACTTATTGGCGTGGAGAAGTGACTCGCTGTGAGTTCCGTCGCTATACCAACGATATTCACCCATGGTCGTGTAGATATCTCTGGAGGGATTAATTTTATACCATGTGGGACTCAACTACTGAGGCCTGGCGTGCGCATGTTGTGTGGCTGTGGTCAACTCACGAACTGTGATGCCCCGAGGAAGGCTATTGACGAAGCCCCTGCAGTTTGCCTGTGCGTGTTCGAGCCTCCATGCTCGAGCAATATTGGAGACGGACCCCAAACCGATGGACGCGAACGGGGTGAAACGAAAGAAAGCACGCCTTGGTAAGATGTGGTTTGGTAGCCTCACCTGATGAACACAATACTGTTAGAGTTAGGGGTTATGATTAAAGGTTAGGAGTTAGGGTTTAGGATTAAAGGTTATAGTCCAGGGTTAGGGGGTTAGTGTTAGGTCAACTATTTTTCAACAACGCAAAGTACGACCACGCATTCCCAATAGTTTTCTTCTTGCATACAATTACTTGACCTCTTCGCCTGTGCGCTCCCCGGCCACATCAGTAAAAGCCCCTATTTCCACCGGTCCCGTAGTAGAGGTAATTGGGCTTTGTTTACTTCAGGTGGGGCTACATAACCACATCCGACCCCCGCCTTGTCACTCACCCAAATTTTTTTTGGATTCAATTAATGGTTGGTGGCATACATACAGTGCGTGACCTATCTCATGAAATGTTGGCTGAAATTCTGAAATATGTTTTCGATTAGGAAGGATTAATTGGTCGCGGTTGTGATACTGATTATCATAAGGCATACGCTTATAACATTTTTGACTCGGCAGGATGTTGACTTTTAAATGCATTTCTTTTCAATCTCCTGTAGAAAGCGTGCTCGGTAAAAAATGACTGCTTAAGTAGCATGCATTTTTCCCACTGATTTTCGATGGTCTTGGAAATTCAAATATATTTTATAGAAACCACAAACAAAAATACGCTTTCTTTTAATCAACCAATAGAGAATCACTTCTTCTTTATATTTTATACTTAAGGAAGGAGTATAATTAGACTTTAAAAAAGTTTCTAATTATGAGACTTCTAAGACCGCGATATGTCCATTCACATAGCATCGTACCTGGCCGTTAACCACTGCTCCTCATGAAATGTACAACATGGTCCGCATCCATGGCAATATTTTATGGACCCTGTATAACATATCTTTAATGACATAGAAAAATATGGGATTTTCTTTACGCGGAACGCATGCACCTTGTAGAGTGTAATCACTAAGCGCTAATGCAACGAACGATCAGGCTCCAGATTTTTCGGCAATTAGAAAACTATTTTAAAACCTAATTATACTCCTTCCTTAAGTATAAAATACATGATTCTCTATTGATTGACTAAAAGAAAGTACATTTTTGTTTGTGGTTCCTATGAAATATATTTGAATTTCCAAGACCATAGAAAATCAATGGGAAAAGTGCATGCTACTTAAGTAGTCATTTTTTACCGAGCATGCTTTCTACAGGAGATTGAAAAGAAGTGCATTTTAAAGCCGACATCCTGCCGAGTCCAAAGTGTTATAAGAGTATGCCCTATGATAATCAGTATCACAACCGCGACCAATTAATCCTTCCTAATCGAAAACGATTTCAGAATTTCAGCCAACATTTCACGAGATAGGTCACGCACTGTAGGACAACAGCACTAATGGCATGCCGATAGCCTGTGTAATGGTCTACGGGGACTCAGTGAGTGAAATCCGCGCGTGTGCGTGTGTGTCTCGGGATCCGCATCGCCTACAGGACGGACGGTTAGCTTCTCAATAAACGGCGGATGCAATTTCAATCGCGCGTATCCACAACCAGCGTTCGCGAACTTCTCTTTGCCGACAACTGTGCCCTGAACGCCACCTCGGAAGAGGACATGCAACGGAGCATGGATCTCTTCTCCGCTGCCTGTGAGAACTTCGGTCTGGTCATCAACACACAGAAGACGGTGGTCGTGCATCAACCGCCACCCAACACAGCCCCTCATCCCAACGCGCCGCCGCAAATCAGCGTGAACGGAACCCAACTGCAAGTGGTGGAGGACGTCCCGTACCTGGGCATTACCCTCTCCCGCAGGACCAAAATGGATGACGAAATCGTCCGCAGGATTTCAAAAGCCAGTCAAACCTTTGGTCGCCTCCAGAGCAGAGTTTGGAATCGTCATGGTCTCCAACTGAGCACCAAGCTGAAGATGTACAAGGCCGTCATCCTGCCGACACTACTGTATGGAGCGGAGACTTGGACGGTGTACGCAAAGCAGGCACGTCGTCTGAACCACTTCCACCTCAGTTGTCTTCGTCGCATCCTGAGGCTGAGATGGCAGGACCGAATCTCCGACACTGATGTACTGGAAAGGACGGGAATTCTCATCATCTACACCATGTTGAGACAATTGCAGCTGCGTTGGAGCGGCCACCTGGTGCGCATGGACGACAAGCGGCTACCCAAACGACTCTCCTACACAGACTTCGTCGCGGGTTTTCGCCGCCGAGAAGGCAAAATTCGCCGATACAAGGATACTCTGAAGTCCTCCCTGAAGCGTCTGCAAATTAACCCGACCAACTGGGAAGGCGTCCCCCACGACCGACCGACCGACCGACCTAGAGGAGGACAGTGAAGACAGGCGCTGCGATCTATGAAGCCAACCGCATAGCCGCCGCTGCCAAAGTCAAACGCGAAGCACGCAAATCACAGCTGTGTGCACTCCGCAACGCCGAATCACAACCGCTTTCAGCGTGTCCTCGATGTCCTCAACGGACATTACGGGCACGAATTGGACTCGCTGGGCACCTTCAGATCAACTGCACCACTTTTCCCTTAATAAAACTGAACTGAACCAAGAATTTTGAAGAAACTGGGTCATTTATGACAAAAAAGATTAAGGAGGTCCGCAGCCAGAGGTGAGGCGGTGGTCAAATTCGCAATCGAGTTTGGTATGAGATCTAAAAGTCTCCTTTATTTGCAGCCGCTAGTTTTGTTATTACAGCCCCAAAAAGGCGGATTTCATAAACAATTCTGAAAAATGCAGTTAGTCCACAATTTACGCGGGAAGACTGTCATGCAAGATTGCGTTTCCGACATACTGTCACTGACTAATCTCGAGGGAAGGTAACCGAAATTTTGAACTGAGTTTCGACCTGGAAGGGTCAATTAAATTGGGTTATAATATTGATCATCGTGCGGCATAATCCGAAGCTATTTCCGTCGCGCCAGAATTCCAGCTTCTCTGTGTACACTTCCTTTCAGCCGTCTACAAAACCACACTGGGTAGAAGATGGCCGTTTATGTAGTATGGATTTTTCATGTATTTTAGAGGTACCTAAAAATCTTAATACGTTTTATAACAGACGTGTACAGTCATGTTCGGTCTTGCGCAGATTTGTCCGCAAACCACATGGTTTTTTAAAATGTTATGCTCGAATGAAAAGTGCCGTTCGATTTTAAGTTTTTTTAAGATTACGACTGAAATGTCCATTAAATTAGCATCGCATTCGTGTGCTTATTAATGCTTCTTATAATGCACACAACATAGCCATATCCATTGCAAAATTTTCTGAGCCCCGTATGACGTCTTTCTGATAACATAGATAAATGCACGATTTCCCTTACATAGGGGTATGCAGCTTGTAACCTGTAAACACCACACGAAAATGCAACGGCAGATCGGGCTCAGGGGTATTTAGAACTACTAAAATGTTAACTTGAGAAATCGTTTGCGTTTTGGGACTTCGATTTGTTTAGTCGAAGTAAGGGTAGGATATGGTTATGTAGCTCCACCTGATGGACACTCTACTGTTAGGGTTGAGGTTAGGGAGTATGGTTAGGGGTTACGGTTAGGGGTTGAGGCAATTATTTATCAGTCACTCAAAGTACAACCGCACATTCCCAGTAGCTTTTCCTTTGCATACAACCACCTGACCTCGTAGCCTGTGCGATGCCAGGCCCCAACAGTAAAACTCCCAATTATCAGCGGTCCCGTAATACAGGTGGTTCAGGTTTGTTTACTTCAGGCGGAGCTACATCTGACCGAAGTAAGGTTCACTGTCTCCAGAAAAGCCGAAAAACTACTGCACACAGATGAGGCAAGTTGTGGAGCTCGGTCAGAAAGTCGCAGATCACTGTCGTTTGTCGTCTGTGTGAGAAAGCCCCCATAACGAGGCAAGTTAGCTGAGGGCAGTGAGGAAGTTTTCTATTAATGATTTGCAAAGACTAGATATTTTGAACAGCGCTATTTCTCAAAGGCGTTGAACATTCTGGCGCTAAGCGTCTAGCTTGCTACAGTTTGTAAATGAGACTTTTCC